AGCCCTATAGTTTAACCAACCGAAAAAAGGGTGCCCTTATTACAAGATCTAGGAACCTAACACCCTCAGAGCCTGAAGCCCTAAGCTGAAACCCCAAAAATCCTGAAAAACCTGAAGCCCCTAAACCCTGTAACCCTAAGCGGGAAGAACCCGAAAGCCCTAAAACCCTAAGAACTGAAAACTCGGACCCCCATATGGAACCACCGAGCTCCCCCCACAACCCTAAACCCTAACCCCAAACCCCTAAACCCCTAAACCCTAAACCCTAAACAACACAGAAATGTCGTAAAACCTCTCTGAAACCTTGCAACCAATGGGCTCGACTGGTGTCTAGGGTTTAAGATTTGCAGTTTTAGGGTATAGGGCTTAAAGTTTAGGGTTGAATTTGGCTTTGCGGTGTAGGGCTTGGGGTTTACAAGGAGGTCTATTGTGTAATTCATATATAGGTATATATTTCTATATGAATCTTCGTTCATATTTAAAGTTGATGATACGCTTTGTTTTGGGGGGGAGGGGGGGGGGGGAGGAGGGGGGCCTAAGCCCTAAACCCTAAACCCTAAACCCTAATTCACTTGGGGGGGCTGGGGCTTCGAGTCCTTGGCGACCAGGTCGCGGCTCACCGCGGCAAAAGAGGGCCTGGAGGCTGAGAACGCAGAGGGCCCAAGTAAATGCGAAGGAGGGGGAGTTGCGACGATTAGGGTCTGGGGTTTGGGGTTTAGGGTTCAGGGTGTGGGGTTTAGGGTTTAGGGTTTAGGGTTTAGGGTTTAGGGTTTAGGGTTTAGGGTTTAGGGTTTAGGGTTTAGGGTTTAGGGTTTAGGGTTTAGGGTTTAGGGTTTGGGGGGAGTGCTGGGTGTGTTGGGGACGTAATCGTTTGTTTAAGGGTTTGGCGCTCACCCTGCCCGACCAGAAGAGACCAAAACCTATTTCGCGTGCATTATGCTATTGAATCCTTTATCGGGTTCCTAAGAAACCCTAGGAAAAATAGGTTTTGAGGTTCGTAAGGTAAGTGTTTGGGGACCAACCGGGTTCAGGACCAAGATCCCGTAGGCAGCAAGACCCAATTGCGAAAATCCTAAACCCTCAAACCCGAAATCGCCACGCCCTAAACCCGAAGCCCTAAACCCCAAACCCTAAACCTTAAACTCAGGGTTCTGAAGAGCTGCCGCTTCCAGGGCTTTGGACCCTAAACCCCAAACCCCCCCAGGTCTTCGCACTCATCCTCTGCGCCCAGACGTCGCCGCAGACCTCAGCTAAGGGCTGCGGAATCGTGTCTGCTTGGGATATGCACTCGTTGGGGTTTAGGGTTTAGGGTTGAGGGTCTTATCCTAGTAATACTTACCCTAGGAATACGTGTTGACCTCTGATGAGAGACCCTACTCGCCTGTTAGTTTAGCCCTAATCCCCAGCCCTTGCCGGTATCATGACAAACCTCCCCAAGCAAGCTGATCGCCAGCCCGAAACCTCCAGCCTAAACCCTAAACCCTAAACCCTAAACCCTAAACCCTAAACCCTAAACCCTAACCCCTAAACCCTAAACCCTAAACCCTAAACCCTAAACCCTAAACCCTAAACCCTAAACCCTAAACCCTAAACCCTAAACCCTAAACCCTAAACCTTCCAGCCTTGTAGAACCACCCTCAATCCTAAAGCCGCCACAACTACCCTGCACCATGCCCTATACGCACCGGCAACTCCGGGCCCTAAGGTAGGGTAGGCTTAGGGTTCAGGGTTAAGGGTTTAAGGTTTAAGGTTTAAGGCTCAACCTGGTTTAAGGTTTAAGGTTTAAGGTGTAAGGTTTCAGGTTTAAGGCTTAAGGCTTAAGGCTTAAGGTTCAAGGTTCAAGGTTTAGGGTTTAAGGTCTAAGGTTGGATGGGTTTAGGGTTTTGGGTTTAGGGTTCAGGGTTCAGGGTTTCGGGTTTAGGGTTTAGGGGAAAGTTTGGGGTTTAGGGTTTAGGGCTTTGGGTTTAGGGTTAGGGTTAGGGTTCAGGCTTCAATTAAGCCCTTCAACACCCGGTCTCTGGTCGTATGCTACTCCCAGGTCAACAGAGACAGTGCCGGAAGCATTAGCAGCAGCAGTCTCAGCGTCATAGGGTTTATGTTTTCGGGGTTTCAGGGTTTGAGGGTTTGAGGGTTTTAGGGTTTGAGGGTTTAGGGCTTCAGGATTTTTGGGTTTTAGGGTTTTAGGGCTTCAGGGCTTTAGGGCTTTAGGGTTTTAGGGTGAGGGTGTACTGTACAGCGTTTTTGGTTCCCCCCTGGCAAGTCTCACGGCAAGTCTCCCGTTTTGTTGGCCCAATAATGAAGGGCCTGTCGGACAGTACTGCATATTAATTATTCAAGCCTCTGCAATGAGGGTGTTGTTGGGTGTTGGGACTTGGGGGGTTTGAGGGCCTTAGGGTTTTCCATGTCGGGATTTGGTGGGGCTGCTGGAAGTTTACACCCTTCACGCTTTGTGGTTTGCACCCGTGCATAGAGTCTCAGGCTCTGAGCCCTAAACCCTAAACCCTAAACCCCAAACCCTAAACCCTAAACTCGTAAAGCAGAGGACCAAAGGTTTCTCGCCGCCACCTGCGCCCAGACCGCTTTCAGCTCTTGAACCCTTCCTCCACCCCTCCAAATCGGCACAGTATGTTGGGGGCATGTTGATAGGGTACTTTCAAGGTCTACATGAACCCTTAAGCCCAAAGCCTTCTGAGCCGTGCACGCCCCAAAACCCGAAGACCTGCGTCGGCGATTTCCCGTCAGGTGGCCGCGCGGTCGCTCTGTGCTTCGGCGCAATGCGCCGGAGGCAGTCCGGTGGTACCTGGAGGTTCATGGGTACTTACAAGTAGGGTGACTAGATTGGTTATGACCCTACTCTTAGGTACTTATAACTCTACTTGCAAGCGCCCATGAACCTCCAAGGGTTCAGGTCTTCAGTGGGGTTTGGTGCTCAGGGAAAATGAGTTGGGTTTGGGTATCAGGCTCCTAAAGCCTTATAGCCCTCTTGAGTTCGGTTGGTGGTTTGGGGTTGAGGGTTGAGGGTTAAGGGTTAGAGTTAGTCTAGAGCTTAGGGTTAGAAACATTCCATGAACCTTTTGGGTGGGTGGGGGAGGTTAAGAACACGTTCCCTGCGAGCTGACCATAGGACAAGCTGACCATAGGACAACACATGTGGCGTGGAGATTGCTTTGAGTGTATCCTTTTCCCTTGTGGGGAGAAAATCAAGAAGATACCTTTCTGAACCTTGAACCCTAAACCCTAAACCCTAAACCCTGAAACGGTAGTGGAGGCCATTGCGGACCCCCAATGTCGAAGAAGCCCCCGCCTCTGCGAGGGGACGTAGCAACGGCGAAAGTGCCCTGTCTTTCGGCCCGCAGCCTGGCATGCTTCTGGGATGGTTTGGGGGGTTTAGGGTTTGGGGTTTGGGGTTTAGGGTTGTGGGTTTAGGGTTTGGGGTTTAGGGTTTGGGGTTTATGGTTTAGGCTTTGGGGTTTATGGTTTAGGGTTCGGGGTTTGGGGTTTAGGGCTTGGGGAGACTTGAGGATGCTTGGGGCCCGACCGAAGCCCTCAGCCCACAAAGCCCCAAGCCCCGAAGCCCTTGTTCGACTTTAGATGCCCTTAACCCACCCCCAAACCCTTAGCCCTAAACCCTAAACCCTAAACCCTAAACCCTAAACCCTAAACCCTAAACCCTAAACCCTAAACCCTAAACCCTAAACCCTAAACCCCAACCTGTAAAGGCGTTCACCTTCTGGGGCCCTAAGTCGCCCCGAAGCCCTTACACCCAAAGCCCTCAAACAGAACACCTCCCACAAAGACGAAGGCAAGGAACCAAACGAGCACCTAAGCTCCCTCAACACCCTAGAATCTCTAAACCCTAACCCCTTTCCCCCCCCCCCCCCCCCCCCCCCCCCCCCCCAAACCCCAAACCCCAAACCCCAAACCCCAAACCCCAAACCCCAAACCCCAAACCCCAAACCCCAAACCCCAAAACCCCAAAACCCCAAAACCCCAAAACCCCAAAACCCCAAAACCCCAAACCCCAAACCCCAAACCCTAAACCCTAAACCCTAAACCCCACACCCCCCTTACAGAAGCTTTGGCCTCCGTCGGCTGAAGGCGGTGACGTTTGGTCCGGATTTCACTTCCGAGCGCCTCGCTGCTTTGGAGGACGGCCGCAGCTTCTGAGGTTTAGGGTTTAGGGTTTAGGGTTCAGGGCTGAGAGCTGAGGGTTCAGGACCCAAGTTGTTTTGTTCTTTTGTCGTTCGTGTGTGGAGGCGGGGGAAGGGGAGGCAAGGGAAAGGGCTTGTTTAGAGGTGGCGGGGCTAACTAAGGGTGGCGCTTTAGGTGTTTGGGGTTTACGGCTCTAGGGCTCCCCCTTCTACTAACCGTCTTTAATAATTAGGGATTGTACTACCCCCCCCCCCCCTATGATCATCCCTATTTAGGACTGTTAGTATAAGGGGAAACTGCTAAACTTTAGGTGCTGTAGGAATTCGGTTTTCGTCGCGTGTTTGACTGAAGGGTGTGTGGGCTGAGGGGTTGATAGGGCCTTCAAGGCCCCTTCTGATCGCAAGCTTCACGCCTTTCAGATTTATGCCCCAAACCCCTAAAGCCCTAAAGCCCTAAAGCCCTAAAGCCCTAAAGCCCTAAAGCCCTAAAGCCCTAAAGCCCCAAACCCCTAAAGCCCTAAAGCCCTAAAGCCCTAGACCCCAAACCCTAAACCCCAGACCCCAAACCCTAAACCCCAAAAAGCCCGGACCCGCAAGCAGCTATCCCATCTCAACATAGACTTGGGGGTTTTCTAACTGTTCGTTAGCAGGGAATGGGGGAATGAGGTACCCTTTATCATCCCTTAAAGGGTATTTATAGGGGGATATGGGTACCTCATTCCCTCATTCCCTACTAAATAGGGGACCCTCAATCCAGCTTGAAATATCGGACATGACGCCACCGACCTCGGCGGTGACAAGTACTCGAAGCAACTGACAAGTTGCATTTCTGCGGCGAAACGGAAGAAGATGTTTCTCTACTTGATCTTGGGAAGCTGGTAGTTGGAGACGAGTTTTTTTGGGACAGTTGGGAGCTTGTGCAAGACACCATAATCCCCCCTTACTCTAACATATTAATCCCCACCCTACCCCTAATATTAAATCCCCCCCCCCCCATATACTATACTTTGTCTAATATTAAGGGGGCCCGGGGGCTCCAACACTCTCTGCTTGAGGAATGTTATTCCTTATTCCATATAAGAAGCCCTGTTATGTCTTAAGGAATGTTCCTTAAATTCCCATACTCTCTAATTAAAGAATGTCATTCCTTATTCCAGATAAGAAACCCTGCTATGTCTTAAGGGACGTTCCTGAGATTAAGGCGTGTTGGGGTCCCTGGAGAGGGGATTCTCCACACCCATGGCATGAGAGCCGAATCAGCCTTCACCAAGCCCTCCTAAACCCCGAACCCCGAACCCCAAACCCCAAACCCTAAACCCTAAACCCTAAACCCTGCAGGAGCTGTGTGCGTGGTCCGGCGGCCTATCCTTCAATGTGGCAGAGCCTGGCATGCGGTGGGCTGAGAGTGGTTTAGGGCCGTTTAGGGTTTAGGGTTTAGGGTTTAGGGTTAGTCAAGACTCAGGGTTCAGGATTCTCTTGAGGTTTCTTCGTACAGGCTTGTTTAAGGCCAGTTTAGGCTTTGTTGTACCAAGGGGGTTTGGGGTTTCAAGGCTTGAGCAGTTCTGTGGGTCTTAGGGTTGAGGAGGGTTGGAGTTTTGGGCATTGGTGTCCAGGGCTTGGGGTGTCGAGGTTGAGGTTTTGGCAGTCTAGATTCAGGCACCTTTTGGGGGGTTTTAGGGTGTATGGGGTTTAGGGGTGTACTTAGGGTTTACGGCTGCATGTGGGGGTTGACCTACATGAATTTGTAATCACTCTTTTCTGTGATGGCGGGCACCCTGCGCGATTCTGCGTGGGATTCTCTGGGGCTGGGCCAGGTGATACTCTGCGCGCTTCTCTGATAGTGCGCTGGACACCGAGGATGGGAAGCGGCCATGCAAGCGCACCAACGTGCAGATGTGATGGGCTTCCCTCCCCCCTCTATACTACCCCCCCCCCCCTAGTTAGGTTCCCGCCTTGAATATAAAGTAGGCTTAGAGGGGAGTATAGAGGGGAACCCATGAAGCTGCAGCACTTTCAAGGCTCATCATTGAAGCCGGACCGAGGGGCCCGAGAGGCTAAGGGGGAAGTGGTGCTATCAGCTGTGTTGAGATAAGGGGCCAACTGGGTTTTTTTTACGGAGGGTGTGGGGGAGGGGGTTAAGGGGGGCCGAGGGGGGAGGGCAAGTGTCTTGCATTCAGTTTGGTGCCACTCTCCCCCAAAGCCCCCAGTCTTGGCCGAGCATGCCTCTTGTGGCTCCATAAGTTGCAAAGAACAAAGAACCTCATGCAACCAGCCCCAAACTCACGCATGGGCCTTACACATTGAAGGCCCAAAACAAGCAGGATTCCCACCAAAAAGGTTCCGACCCCCCGTTTGGCAGCTGCATGGTCCCGTTTCAAATCGCGGCGACGTCTTTCTCAATCACGGCGCCGTTGTGGTGGGTTGGGTTTGCGGCTTTGTTAGCCCTCACCAAAGCCTGGCCAGTTCAAGAAGGAACCTCGGGATCGGATGAGGTGGCTGCACTGCATCTTGGCTCTTAGGACTTTAAGCTTTTTGTTTTTTTTTTGTAGAAACTACAATAAGGAGCCTAAAAGTTAAGCTTGTTGAAGGGGTTCAGAAGTCAGCCAAGGTATGTCGACGACTCGCGAAATACCATTGTTGTGGCAGGGCACACGACTGGCTCCTGGCCAGGCCACACCAATGCCGGTGGCTACGACGTCTTCTTGGCCAAGTTTGACACTAGGATACCCACTAGTACCCTTATTCCCTTTTCGTGGGGCGGATCTTGAGTCTAGGTTCCCCTAGAAGCCCCTTTCAGCAAAAAAAAGTGGGTACTTTTTTTAGAGAAATTCCCTGACTACTGGGCAACCTAGGACATCATCGGCCGTCTGCAGTGGGTCATCCAAACGGGCTCCTCAGCCAACGACTTCGTGGCCTCGATGCAAGTTCCTTAGGGAGACTTGGAAATGTGATTTTCATTTGGGCACTGTAATTCCGAAGAAACAGCTAAAATTCTACTTGTTGCTAAGCTGCTAACTTTTTCGGGTACTGTAATCTCCAAGAAACAGCTAAAGTTACAATTGTTGCTAGGGTTTTGGATACTTTAATTCCTAAGAAGCAGCTAAAGTTCCAAGTTCAGTGTAGGTGCAGCCTGCCAGCGGTGACATCCACGTCTGCGGCTGGACTCTTGGGTCGATGGACGGGCAAGCCAACTACGGCCAGGCCATGGGTTCCCCTCCTCTACCGCCTCTAGACCTAAACCCTAAACCCTGAGCCCTAAACCCTAAACCCTAAACCCTAAACCCTAAACCCTAAACCCACTTTAGGGGGTAGTTCAGCCAAACTAAGGTTATTAAAGGGGGAAGTCATGGGTTGCCCTACTACATACCCACGCCCCCCTTTTACAAGTTCTAAGGCTATTTAGGGATAAGTCAGCCAAGTTAAGGTACACTAAGTAAAGCGATTTTGGGATAACAAGATGGCCAAGTTGAGGTTATTTAAGGGGGGAAGCTGTTGGGGTTTAGGGTTTAGGGGTTTAGGGTTTAGGGTTTAGGGTTTAGGGTTTAGGGTTTAGGGTTTAGGGAGAGCTAGCTGCGGCCAGGAAGACTTGCTGGTCATGATCTTCTCGGACAACGGGACGCACAAGTGGACCGTCACTTCTTGTAGCCCAGTGGTACCTTTTCCTTTTTTTTTGGTTCAAGGTTCCCTCGAGTAACCCACCCAAAAAGGGTGCCATTATTATTATGACTCATAAATTAAGACTACTATTCTTAGTTATTATTATTACTACGAGGTTCCCTTATAAAGTAACCCACCCAAAAAAGGGTGCCAATAGTAGTATTATGATTCTTCTTTTTCCTCTTCTTATGATGATGAGTATTAGTATTGTTACTATTATGAAATATGATTATGATGTTCCTTTTTTTAAGTGGTTATTGGGCTACTTAAGGTCAAGGATGCCTTTCAGGATGTTCAATCTTCGGGAAACGACCGCTGTGGAGCGATCCTTCCAGGGACAGGCTCCAGCGAAGCTGGCACAGTGTACGGGTTCACTTCCGGGGATGTCGGCTCACAGACTCATGTCGGAGGCACCGACCTGCTATTCATGACATATAGTGAGGATGCGATTATCACCTTCGGAAAGGCTGGAACGAGCGGCGATGATGTCTATACTGCTGCCACTGAGTACTGGTGGGAGCCGTGGGGTGTTACGGCAAAGTGTGTGGTCGGATATACCTTCGGCGCCTTCGCTTCCTTCACCAACGCAGGGGGTGCAGACTTAATCGTAGCATGCGAGACCTTTGTCGACTTTTCTTCGGGAAGAATCCAGCATGGGGGGGCTTCCGGAGACTACGCAACAGGTGTAGCTGTCGACACGGCCACCGGGGTGTATGTCACTGGCTACACACAAGGATCCCTTGACGGCCAAAGTTTCGCAGGTGTCGAGGATGCCTTTTTGACAATGTTTCTGCTGAACGGGACGTGGCAGTGGACCACCCTTCGAGGCAGTGCCTCGAGCGACCGAGTCGTTGGTATCTATGGGCCTCTCTACAGTGAGCCTTGGTAGCCCAGTGGTACCCTTTTCCTTCTTTTGGTTCAAGGTCCCTTGTACAGCAACCAACCCCAGAAAGGGTGCCCGTATTGTAATATGGTTCCTGGGCTACCCAGGAGCTGTATGTTGTGGGCACCGTGGACTCCGATGTTCTGGATGCTGGCACAGGCAATGTGGCCGCTGGTGGGAAGGATATGTTTCCTTGGGGATACTTGGGAATACTTTCAATTTTTGGGTACTATGATTCCTAAGAAACAGCTAAATTAGAGTTTTTTGCTAGGATTCCAAGTTCAGTTAAGGTTCGTGATGGTCTTCAACACAGACGGCGTTTGGCAATGGACAAGTCAGGCAGGAGGCGCTTCAGATGATGAGGCCAGCGCAGGATATTCCTTTTACGCAGGCGCGGCTCTTATCGCGGGGCAGACTGCAAGCACGCTGGAAGGGACGAGTGCGGGCTCGAATGACTTGTTCCTGTCCTACCTGGTCCCCCCAACCACGCGCACCTCCACCAGCTCCTCCTCTACCTCCAGCAGCTCCTCCACATACACACTCACGTCTTCTTCTTCAAGCTCGACCACGACGTCAAGCACGTCTTCCTCCAGTAGTTCAACATCCAGTTCGAGCAGGTCGACCACAAGTAGCAGCACCACGTCCACCAGCTCCTCCACGTCCACAAGTACATCTTCTTCAACCTCCACCACACGTTCAAGCACGTCTTCCTCCAGTAGTTCAACCTCGACTTCGAGCACGTCAGCCACAAGCAGCAGCAGCACGTCCACCAGCACGTCCACATCGACTAGCACATCCTTCACTTCAACCTCTACCACGCGTTCAAGCACATCTTCCTCGAGTTCCAGCACGTCAGCCACAAGCAGCAGCAGTACGTCCACAAGCTCCTCCACATTCACAAGCACATCCTCCTCTTCAACCTCCACCACGAGTTCAAGCACATCTTCTTCGACCTCGAGCACGTCATCCACAAGCAGCAGCAGTACATCCACCAGCTCTTCCACATCCACGAGCACGTCTTCCTCTTCAACCTCGACTACGCTCTCAAGCACATCATCTTCCAGCAGCTCAACCTCAAGTTTGAGCACTTCAACCACGAGCACGTCAACCTCGAGCTCTAGCAGCACGTCCACCAGCTCCTCTTCGTCCACAAGCACATCTTCCACTTCCACGCTAACTACAACGACAGTCTTCGTGGACCCGGTGCCCATCGTAGCTGGAGCTTCTGGTGGTGCAGTGGCCCTCATGGCTGCGGTAGCTACAGCTACGTTTGTCGCTCTGAAGTGCAAGACCACAGCGGTGGTTCCCAGCGAAGCAACTTCAGCACAAGCGCAGGTCGGACTTCAGCAGGCTCCAGCTCAAATCTCGCCGGACAGCTTCCCGGCAAACTCGGCCGCAGATCCACTTCATGTCCTCGGTAGTGATGAACCGATGCAGTCAGTGGCCGTTTAAAGTGTTGTCCATGCACTACGTGCTTGCTCAAGGCAATGCACTATGTCTCACGGGCAGTGTCAAGGCAGGGCCTAAGCTGCAAATTACACGTTTGAAAAATAATTCTGTCTTGGCGGTGGCTGAGTGTGGGCAGGTTGCACGGTCTCAGAGCCCGACATTCATTTCAGCGGTATCCAGTGTTCGAGTTAGGGGTGCATCACCTTAAGACATCTTTACCCTGAACCGTTACATTATTTAAACCTTCTCAGCATTAAACATCCCTAATATCTAAACCTGCATGTTGTAACATCCTCGACGCATCTTGACGCCATGTCAATGTGTCATGGCAAGCGTGCCGAGCCCAGCTTTGCACCCTTCCAGGTGTTTTTACCCAAGACAGAGTCCAGCTGTCGCGCTTTCGCAGGTGACGTTGTTTGGGTCATCACTTGTTGGCGAAAGTGTCAGGCTGTCCCAAGACCACACGGACGCCAAAGGCTGCGTTCCGTAGCGTGCCTCCGATATGCGTTTCAAGCAGATGCAGATTTTCGTTTGATGGGCAGCCGATGTCGGCTTGACTGGTACCTTGCAACATGCAATCCATACATTGGGATCTTCCCCCTTATACTAACAGTGAACTATAATCCCTATGAAGGACTGTTAGTAGAAGGGGAGGACATCCCAATCCATACGTCAAATGCCTTGAAGGTTCCTTTCCCCCCACCCAAAGTTAGGGAGTGCAGCCCTATAGTCACCACTTTTCTGAGAAACCTATAGCCTAGGGTCCTAGTAGGTGTTTCGGGTTTGTTGAGCGTTCATGGTTTTACGATCTGAAGGAAGGTTGCAAACACCGAGGCATTCGACTCAATTAATTGGTTCTGCATGCCATTGGCGGCGTTTAGGTTTATGTCCGTCGGCCACGCACTGCCCAAGGCAGAAGTGGGACGGATTTCGACAGCCCAGGGACCCAATACCCCTTAACTAAGGAAAATCCTTAAACTAGAAAAGGGGTCCTGATATGGTTTAAGTAAACCCTCAACCCTAAACCCTAAACCCTAAGATTCCTTAACTAAGGAGTTTCGGAGTCTCTGGGAAGTGCTACTCTTGCGAAAAGTGCAGCGCTCTCTTGTTGCGGCCTCTCTCCCATGACGAGCACTGTAGGGTTTAGGGTGTAGGGTGTAGGATGTAGGGTGTAGGGTTTTGCGGTTTAGGGTTTAGGGTTTAGGGTTTAGGGTTTAGGGTTTAGGGTTTAGGGTTTAATTAGGGTTTAGGGTTTAGGGTGTAGCGTTTAGGGCCTACAGACCCGAAACGAGACTGCTCATTTCGGTTCCTGCCTAGTCGCAGCGGAAATCATAAACCTTGCAAACCTTTCTGCCTGAACTCGCAACCTTAAACCCCTAAACCCTTACCCCTAAACCAACCCCCCCCCCCCCTACCGACAACTACTTCTTAAATCTCAGACGCGGTAGGCCTCACACCCTCGAACCTACCACCCGGACTCGTCGACTCACGACCTTCCACCATAAACCCCAAGTGGTTTAGGGTTGAGGGTTTAGGGTTCGAGGCTTTTGGGTTTAGGGAAAGATTACAAAACCTAAACTTTGCCCCAGCTTTATACACCTATTCCTACAAGCCTTCTAAACCTCAAAGTCCTAATCCGCAAACCTTACAGTCCTTAAGTCCCGAACCCTGAGCCCCTGAAACCCTAAACCCCCAAAACCTTGCCCCAACTAAACCCTAAACCCCAAACCCTGAGCCCCCTGAACCCTGATCCCTCCTAACCCGGAACCCTAAATCCCTCCAAACCCTAAACCCTAAACCCTAAACCCTAAACCCTAAACCCTAAACCCTAAACCCTAAACCCTAAACCCTAAACCCTAAACCCTAAACCCTAAACTCTCAGCAGCTATAAGGCTACGACCAGCTGCTGAAGGCTTGGCGTCGCACCTTTTCACGCAGGCCCACAAGGGAGCTGCCGCAATGAACAGGGTTTAGGGTTTAGGGTTTAGGGTTTAGGGTTTAGGGTTTAGGGTTTAGGGGTTTAGGGGTTTAGGGGTTTAGGGGTTTAGGGGTTTAAGGGTTTAGGGGTTTAGGGGTTTAGGGGTTTAGGGGTTTAGGGGTTTAGGGGTTAAGGTGTTTATTTAGGGTTGGTGGGGTAGGTTTAGGGGTTAGGGGTTCAGGGTTTAGGTGTTGATTTAGGCTTGGTAGGGTACCTGGAGGCTCTAATCTAGTGCCTTTTTCCGCTAGTTGTAAGGGGGCTCTTGTGTTCTACCCCAGAAGGTACTACAGAGGAGCCTTAGCTATACATCCTAAACCCCATGAACTCCTAAGCCACAGACCTAAACCCCTTGACCCTAGACCCCTAAACTCCTAAGCCCCTGAACCCCTAGACCCCTAAACCCCTTACCCCCCTTAACTGGGTTTTGGAGTATATGTTAATATATTTTGGCTTCAGGGTTCCCATTATAGCTACTTATCCCCCCCAAAAAGATACTTTTTTCCATGGTCTACTCCAAAGTAGGGGTAAAGTAAGGGTTTCAGGGTTCCTGGACTTCGGTTGACCCAGAAGCCTGGAAGCTCTTTGGAGGCTTTGCCTGGCACCCTTTTTTGCTTCGTTGGGACTCTAGGCTTCCTCATAAAAGTGCCCAACTCTACAAAGGGTTTAGGGTTTGGGGTTCGGGGTTTGGGGTTTAGGGTTTGGGGTTCAGGGTTTGGGGTTTAGGGTTTAGGGTTCAGGGTATGGGGTTTGGGGCTTAGGGTTTGTTGGGCTACCAAGAATCCGACAGACGCGTGGTAGCAGGACCTCGTGGTATGTGTCGGGCATGTCTTCCTGCATCCGGTTCCATCCTGACTTTTCATCATGCGCTAGAGGTGCATAGATGGATGTTTACGATCATGAGGGACCCCTAAGAAAGATCCCCTCATAGTAGGTTCCCCTTATTGTAAGGACCCCAGGAAGGTTCCCCAAGAATCGTAAACTCCCAGATACCTGAAGTGTGACAGATGTACTATAGAGGTCGGAAAAATTACAAATAGTATTCCCTTTGGGTCCCTTTATAAATTATACTACAACACCCCTCAAAAACCCTGTTCTAAGTATTCAGGCCCCTATATATTACTTTCCCTCTCATTGTCACGTCTCTTTCGCAGGCCGATGCCAGCATCGTCCTGGAAAGGAGAAGATACTACGCTCAGAAGCAGGAGCCTGTTTCCATGTTCCCAGAGACTCCCATCCTCCTTTTTGTTCAGGAATATTCCTTAAACCATGCAAGGAACCCTAAACCCTAAACCCTAAACTGTTTCAAGGAATATTTCTTATTTCAGGTGGCATTTGAGTCCCTGGGTTGCGATGGGCGCTGGAACTCCTCTCGGCCCAGTTTTTGCTGGTTGCCATGCCCTATGTCCCCCTGTTTTTTTGTTTATGTAAAACCCAAGAGGATATCAAACATATTAGTCTTATTGGGGTTTTAAGGGGAGCATAGTACCTGCCATTTCCCTACCGTAGTTTGACTGCTTCTGTTTTTTGGCACCCGAAGCCCTAGATCCTATGCCCTGAAATCCTGGCCCCCTTTCTGCTTGAAGGTTCATGGGGCGATAAGCACGCTTAAGGTTTATAATGTGGGTTACCGTATTCATGAATGGAGGGTTTACGAAATAGGCGGCCCCAATAGAGAACCCCAAATAGTAGGATCCCCGTATAATTCATAAGGACCCCAATCAGGTACCCTTTGATATCGCAAACCCCCAAGTACGGCAGGAGCTTGGCACCTGTTTTATGGAACTTCCGAAGATGGTGAAGTACAACGAAGGCGATCTTCTAGTTTGGGGCGCCGGGCTTCCGAAGGCTAAGTATTTAGTTGAGGGCCCTTTCATGGACCCCAAGCCCTGCAGTAGGCCCTTAAAACCCTAAACCTTACTTCGTGCCTGATAAGGCTGGTGGGCTTAGAGGTTTTGAGAATTCAGATGTGGGGCTCCACTGCTCCCTGAGAAGTTTGGCATTCTGGAGCCCTAAACCCTAAACCCTAAACCCTGAACCCTGAACCTTGAACCCTGAACCCTGAACCCTGAACCCTGAACCCTGAACCCTGAACCCTGAACCCTAAATCAAGTCAGGCGTTTGAGGGCACAGTGGGGGTTCCCTGATTCCGGTATCTGTGTTTTCATTCGTGCGCCTACTGCAGCTTCGCTCCCCAAAGCCGCTGTAAAGTGCTCAAATCCTAAACTTAAACCTAAAGCCGGAAATCGCCCCAAACCCCCAAACCCCCAAACCCTTAAGGGTCCCTTAAACCCTTAAACCCTTAAACCCTTAAACCCTTAAACCCTTAAACCCTAAAACCCTAAAACCCTAAAACCCTAAAACCCTAAAACCCTAAACCCTAAACCCTAAACCCTAAACCCTAAACCCTAAACCCTAAACCCTAAACCCTAAACCCTAAACCCTAAACCCTAAACCCTAAACCCTAAACCCTAAACCCTAAACCCTAAACCCTAAACCCTAAACCCTACGCGAGGCGAGGCCACGCCATCCTTGACGCCGTTGCACCTGCACCGGAAGCACCTTGCAGGGCTACCAGCACTGTGGGGGCCCTGAAGGGTTCTAGGATTTAGGGTTTAGGGTTTAGGGTTTAGGGTTTAGGGTTTAGGGTTTAGGGTTTAGGGCTTAGGGTTTAGGGTTTAGGGTTTAGGGTTTAGGGTTTGCGGTTTACACGACGGCGACTACCACAGGTCGAGCGCCATTGCTCGTTGCAGTCGATCCGCTGGCTTCGTCTCGTCGCGTTCATGCAGAAGAAGGGCGTTCTCCGTTTGGCCCTCCGCGCGTGGCGCCAGACGATGAAGCGCAGGATGCTACAGAGGCAGCACACAGGGCAGTGAAGCCGGCGTATCTGGACGACCGATCCGATTTTGCTGGAGTGCCGTTGACGGCCCGAAGCTTCAGACACATATTGCAGGGGCCTCAATAGTTAGCTCCCTTCGCCTCGCCACCCAAACATGTTCAGGGAAAGTTGAGGGTTTAGGGTTTAAGG